CCTGGCCGCAGCAAGGTAGATTACAAATGCCGGGTAAGTTTTTTTTTGAATAATAAACGTACCTGGGTACAGGAGCCCTTGTGCGGACCATTGAAACCGTTTCACACGAATGCACAGGTGTCGTGGACGAAATTCACCAGCTTCTGTGCTCCAAATCGAAGAGCGAGTTGGGTGGAATGTTGGTCCTGGCCTCATTGGCCCAAGATGTTGCAAGCACAAAGCCGACATTATGTCGTTTGTTCTCCACCGTGCCGCTTGCAGTTACTTTGTTTGTCCATGTGCTCTACCTACGGTGATGACTACAACCTGACAGTGACAATCTTGTTGCAACAGCTCATCATTTTTGCACTGGGGGCTCCTGGCATCGCAACTAGGAGCAAGGACGCTACTAGGGGCTCCTGGCATCGCTACTAGGAACAAGAAGCTATTGCTGCTAGGAGCAAGGACGCTTGTTTTGCACCACGTCTTGTGTTGCTCGCCCACATCGGGTCGAGGGATCCGCCCTGACGAGATTTGCCCTGCTCAGGTGGAAATCAACGAAAGCCTGAAGGCATGGGAAGGGTGTTGGATTCTTTCAGGTTTTGGACTCCAAAACACGTGAGTTGCCTTGCAGTTTGGAACGCCTGCTGACATTTGCTGACGCCTGCTAACACAGGGTTCACTAGGAGAGAGATTCAATGACCTCGTCATGTTTGTTTGTCATATGTCACGTTTTGTATCGGTGTCACCCGTTTGTTCAAAACATCACCCAGTATTGAATAGACATGCCATTTTCAAACGTGTCCGGTTCATGTAGGGTTGGGATGTTGGACTTAGGCGAAGCATACGAAGCATACCCGAAGTATACCAATTGACAATGCTCCTACTTAGTCTTTTCACTGCGGGAAGCATACCCCCGAAGCATACCCCATAGTCAAACATCCCAGCCCAGGAGCATCAAAAGAATACACTGTGATTGTTTCAACTTTCAATGGGATCTTCACTGTTTCCTGATCCAATGACACAGATTGAGTTGGGCATGATTTAGACATAATCACGTCCCAACTCATTTTTTCAACACCAAAACAGTTCCACAAATGAAAACACGAGGATTGGACGACATTGAACGGTTCTTCCAGGGTCCGGGCTCCGGCATGGACACGCAGTTCTTCGAAGCGGTCGCAGCAAAGATCCCGTCACTCCGGAGGAAGGGCGGTGGAAGAGCTACTTGTAGCGTCGTGTTACCAGTAGCAAAGGAACCTAATAGGAATGGCCTCCACCTAATAGCTTCTAGCTACTAGTGGCTTCTTGTTACTAGTAGCGATGGCCTCCAACCCAATAGCGATGGCCTCCACCTAGTAGCTTCTTGCTACTAGTAACTATCAATGGTTGCAGAGGTTTTCCACAAAGCATTATGTTCATTGGAAAAGTGATGCAAATAGCCCCCTCCCCCGAAGCACGAGTTCATGTGTGTTTCACGCGAAACCTGCAGAGCCAGTCGCAAAAGCACCGCAGAGCTGAAACAACCCATGTCGGTGACAGCTCCTCGGTCCAAGGCTTTATGTGGCACGCTTTGAAGTGGAGCACTGGCACGGCAGGCGCAGCATCGCGCAGGGTGCATTTGGCTTGACCCGACTGGTCAGGTGACTGTACTGATTAGATGCAAGGATCTTGCTGGTATGAGGATATGCTTAATGCAGTACGTGAAAGCCCTGTTCTTCCACGCACTTGAAGGAAACACAAACACAAATTCTTTGTGGCATGGTCTTCCTTTGCAATGGTCAGAGAGAATGTTGGCTGAAGCAGGTAGGAGCAAGAAGCTACTAGTAGCTCCTGGCCTTACTACTAGTAACAAGAAGCTACTAGGAACAAAGGGCATCGCTACGAACGGAGCGGTCGGACGCTACTAGTAGCTATTTGCTACTAGTAGTAATGCCCTTGTTACTCGTAGCGATGCCCTTGTTACTAGGAGCGGTCGGACGCTACTAGTAATTGCATCTTTCCACTTTGGCATCCTCCAGATAAGATACCCTCAAGGAACTGAGAACAGAAACTTTGTACATCAGTCACATTTTTGCAGACAGAGAAGAGCAAAAAGCTATCCACGTGTGGATCACAAAGACTACAGTTTATATATATAATATGTTATAAGTTATATATGTTTATGTCCTTTCCTGATTTTGGGGGATTTGCAGATTGTGTTGGAGCTTGGTTTCTGGTTTTGCCGCTAGCCAGACATTTCTATCCACCAAGCCGTGCACAGCTCGTCCCTCGCGGCGTGACGCTCGTGGGTGGCTCGGGACTGCCCTGACCAACCCAGGCAACCTAATGTTTGTCTCTATCGGCGTGAGACCGTGACATTCGTCCGTTGCCATTTGGGCTTTGGAGATGTGATAGCTCCAAACCTTGGCGCTTCTGTGTGGAAGGCGCGCGGCGCGCGGTCAATCTATGGATGAGTCCCCCCACCACCGCCCAGCCCAAGCAAAAGAAGATTATGTTTGGAGGGCCAGGCTTTTGTTCCCCAAATGCTGGCGAGATATACGGCCTCGCCGAAAATGGTTTTTGCATCTGAGCCTAGGGCCTCTCTCTCTATATACTGGGTGATGGTTTCGATAGATATTTTTTTGTTCAACCCTTACTTGGGGATGATTGGACCCTCTTACTAATGTTTTTCAAGTGGGTTGAAAACACCAACCAGTATACAGTAATATATTATGTTTAAACATCAGGTCATTTTGAGGGAGTGGTGGTGGGGACATGCCCGAAGAAACCTTGAACCCCAAACAACCGGTCAGCATGTTCTTTCCACAGCTTCCGTGTCGCATGAATTGCCAGACATGCAGTATATCATGATGCTTTGCTTGTTCAAAGTGGTTTACTTTCGTTATGTCCGGCCGCACCAGGCTGCTTTGCCACCACCGAGCGCAGGGCCATGAACACCTCGAGCATGTTCATTGCCACGGAGCCTGTGCCAATGTGGCCAGGATTTCCTGCTGGATGCTGAGTGGCCCGCTGTTGGGATGATGTTTGAAGTGTTGCACTGATTTTGCTAGATGGATGATGTATTCCATAAGACCACCCAGCAATTGCGGTCCCCATGTTTGTTGTTTGATCACGATGTTCTTGACTCACACGGGAGAAGGGACAGCAATAACATTTCGTTTCGGAGCGGGACAGTCTCACTCTCTGCAGTTTTGCCGCATCCATTCCCACAGCTCTTGAGCAAGTCATTGATACACTTTTCCAAAAGATGTGGATAGATGTGGTAGTGTTGATGTGTGAGGCCTCTCCACCTCTTTTGGCTGTCAACTCCAAAACCTACTGTAACCTTGCCGACCAACTCCTTCGCGTCGAGCAGCGCACGTTTCGGCCTGTCCATCGCGCAAATCGCGAGGCCAAAGATGAGACCCACCCAAATTCCGATGCCTGGCACTGGTGGAGCCCGCCACCCAATGTGCCGCTTGGCACATGCAGTGGGGGCTTTGCAGAGAACTACGGGAACACAATGGGAGTGCGAATGTTGGCTGTTGGTTCATACGATCCCCGTATGGAGATGTAAAAAACCATGCTGGTAAGGCCGGGCGGCTTTATTAATCAACAGCCTTCATTAGTCAGACAAATCCTCAAGGTTACAGTCTTGTGGGAGTGTGTTGGTTGGGCGTGTGAGGCAACATTCAGGCATGTCACCCAAGCTTGGGAATCTTGGGATTACTCAAACCTAAACCATCCCAGAACTGGGTCCGCTCTGCCTGGTCACGGGGTGAGCAGATGACCCAGGTGTCCACCTGGATTCGAATCCGGCGGATGACCATGTCGATCCTAGGTGGATCCCTTCCTACATCGCCTACGGCTTGGTGGACACCATCACGCCACTCTACGGAGCCATGGGCGCCATGACCGGCTCGCCCGGACTTGCGCCGGAGAAGCAGGGCGGCTTGGCCGAGACACTTAGATGGTTGCTCGCAAGAGCTAGGATCAGAATGAAGTCCCCTTGAATTGGTGAACGGAAAAATGCAATAACCGAAAGGTGGCAGAGTCAGAGAACTTGAAGAACATGTTGTTTTGTGAGCACGAACTGCCTAGTGCACAACACCGGATTGGACAGCTTGTTAACAGTTCAAAAATATACAGCAGGTACGTCAGTTCCGCGTCCGGAACTGATATCCGCACCGGGTATTGCCAGCTTTGTTGGTGGAGAAGCAATACCGGTGTCTCCACCCCCTGCCTTGTTGAAATTCCTTTGAAACAGGTGTGGACACACACACACACCAGGCCGCTATCGGCGCTCAGGAAGTTCAGTAGTCACCTAACAAGCCTTAGCAAGAAAAAGAAAAGCAAGACAGAAAGAAAACCGAAAAAGGGCAGGAGAGAAAGATAGGCGTAGTTACGAACCCCCTTAGTTATGAAACCTGCAAGGTAGTTACTGATTACTTAGCCGCTCCCGCCTGTTTAAACACTTCTTTAAAACAGGTGTGGACTTATGCACACACCAGGCCGATTTCGGCGCTCAGACAATTCAGTAGTCACCTAACAAGCCTTAGCAAGAAAAGAAAAGAAAAGACAGAAAGAGAAGCCGAAGAGGGCAGGAGAGAAAGATAGGTGTAGTTACGAGGCCCACTAGTGACGAGGTCTGTTAGTTACAATACGTGCAGAAGTTAGCGACCGAGACTTTAGTCTTATACCGCCCTGGTAGCTAGAAGTAGGACAGGAGAAATAGAAGGAAAGGCACCAACACACAAGTGTGTTGAGTGCGATTTCCTTCTATAACCCTAGATAGCGGGTGGGATAGCAACGGAGGCCAGGGGCAGGGAGGTAGGGGGAGGGTGGGTTAGGGTGGCTTGCCATCATTGACATTCAAGCCGATTTTGGGGCCGGCGGACCCGTTTCTGAAAAACACCTGGAACCTAAAGAAAGGCTTCAAGAAACGAAAAGCAACAGCAAGAGAGAAGGAACTCAAGAACATGACAAGCGCATGCAACTGAAAAAAGTCACTCACGTTCCTCGCTCTCCTCCGGCCTGTGAATACTTAGCAGCATCAAGTAAAACTGCGTTTGGCACATCTTTGACTGAAGCCTAAAGAAACCTAAAGAAAGGCCTCCAGAAAAAGAACAGCAACAGCAGGAAAGAAAAACCCAAACGGAGCAAAAAATACCACTCTCGATCTCACTCTCTTCCGGCCTGTGAATACTTAGCAGCATGACGTGGACATGTGAATACTTAGCCGTATGCCAGAATCCTGACTGGAATTTGATCTCAGTAAGCCCTGCGGCATAGTATCAGTGGTATCGTGCAAAGCAGTCAATCGAGGGGGTTACAATACAAGTCCCAGTGCAGAGACGAGACAATCAGGGTGAGTCCTCCAGGATCTGGGTCTGTGCACATGCTGCGCCCCTCGACGGGGATCACACCACAGCCCTCAGTGGGACTCCGATACACACTTAGATGGTTGCTCGCAAGAGCTAGGATCAGAATGAAGTCCCCCTTGACTTGGTGAATTGAAAAATGCAATCACGGGAAAGGTGGCAAAGTTAGAGAACTTGAAGATGTTGAATATTTTGTTTTGTGAGCACGAACTGCCTAATGCACAACACCGGATTGGACAGCTTGTTAACAGTTCAAAAATATACAGCAGGTACGTCAGTTCCGCGTCCGGAACTGATATCCTCACCGGGTATTGCCAGCTTCGTTGGTGGAGAAGCAATACCGGTGTCTCCACCCCCTGCCTTGTTGAAATTCCTTTGAGACAGGTGTGGACACAGATATAAGACATATCATATCTATCTATTGATATACACAGTACATGTACATGCTTTAAATTGCAATTCAACAATGATACATGGTCACAAAGCATGCATAGACACATTGGCCGTAAACCACACATTATCCACCGTTCGGAGGAGAAGGTCGATTTGTCGCCACAAATGCTCCGGAAACGCAATGAAGATTGGACCCGGAATTGGTTCGGTCTTGGGAGGATGACAAGATTTGCTAACTACGTGCCAAGAAGCTACTAGGGGCTACTAGGGGTTCCTGGCCTTACTACTTGTGACAAGAAGCTACTAGGAGCTTGCTCGGGACCTTGTCCCGTCGGCCAAGGGTCGCCCCAAGCATCTCCAATCTTGGCACTCAGCGGTGCGTATGCGCACATACACATGCACTCATATATATATATATATATATGTATATATACACAGATCAGAAAGGCCTTGGGCGAACCACGTGGAGCCCAGCTTCACCAGATGAGGTTAGTGATAGGTTTGAGTCATGATAGCAGTTTGACATAGTTTGTATTACTTTTATATTAAACAGGCAGATGATGTTGTTGTAAGAGTTACCGTAACATTAGCAGGTTTGACCTGGTTTGACATTTGGCAGCCATCTCACTTCTGTGGGCTGGGTCACTTCTGTCGTTTCTGGTTGGTTCTCCGGACGGTTTCGCGAATGGGTGGCCCGGGCCGAGGCGACATCCAGAAGGGTCACGACACCGGTCCCAGCACCAAGAGAAGCTCCCTCGGTCCTGAGGAGCTGCCTGGCAGAATGCAATTCGAAAGGAGCACGAGAGAAGAGCAACCGGCGTTTGTGAAGATTTCATTGTGTTTTTCTCTGATGTTTTTTGACCTTTTCATTCAATTACGGAGTTGTGTTGGCGTGTGGGGGTGGGGCTATATAGCCAGAATCGACTATGGTATGGATTTAGCCTGCCAGGAGGCCGTTCTGTTTATTTGTGGCAAATCCATCTAGTCCAATGTTTTGGGCTCTAAGCATCCTCAAAGCAAACCGGGAGCCACCGCTGGACCGTTCAAAAGTTGCCAGCTGAGATGTTCGGGGCTGCCACACGAGAGAAAAGCAAGCAGTTGGGCCGGGTGCCTTACACTAGCAGCTTCCATCTGCGCATGGTTTTGGTCCAAAAAAAAATCTGCCCCCCCATTATGATGTGCGAGGGTCACCGGAAGCCCCCCAACAGAACTCCAGGTCGTTGTCGCGTTCCAACGCCCAGGCAGGGCTTTCACCAGGAGATGCTCCGCAAGCTGGCGCTGCACTTGGCCGCACAGCCGGAGGAAGTGCCCGACACGGTGGCCACCGCCCCATCGCCGGAGACGATGGTGAAGGACTCGAGGTTAGACGGTTTAGATAGACCCAGCTACTTGTAGTGGCACGGTATGTGTTGTCTACAGTTGTTGGGGCCATGTGCAGGGGTCCTTTGAACTTCGCGCGGCTATGAGGCAAACGTGTGTTGTTTTGGGGTGAGGATTTCACATGCCAACTCGCATGCCTTCTGGAATGGCCCGGCGAGCCGATGTGTTCAGGAGTGTCCCAGCGAACCGGTGCACTTCTGCGAGTCGAACTTCTTCATGCCTGTGGACAAGGAGGAGGGTTCAGACACCCCTCGCAGCTTTTGCGCTACTCCAGAGGAGCATGGCATGCCTGTGTGGAAAGACAGGAATGCAGATGCCTCGGGTTATGAAGAGAATGAGCCGAGCCACTGTGTATGTCTCCTACTCTTTGCCCAGGAAGCTTTCTTTTGGCTCTTGTCCATACATAATGTGTCATATCTGGTCCTGCAGCCGTGCATGCTGCATGCACCAATAGTTGGGCCGTACATACAGATACAAAAACACAACTAAACACCCGTCTCATCATGGTCGGCCCATTTTGGCTAATTGACCCATGACACGGCACTATTCATTTGAATGAGCTCAAGGGGTTTACTAATTTACTGAACTGCTTGTGTGGGATAGAGAGTTTAGGGGTAAATTCACCCTGCCCCTGAAATTTGCAGTCATGCAGATCATCAGTGGAATCTTCTATGAATGACGAGTGCCAGGTGTTCCTAGCTACATCGTCCATGGCTTGCTGGAGGCTTGGGAAGGCAAAAGCAAGAAGGACAGGCGCTTTGGGCCCTCCGAACAGAGCTTCCATCATGAGATGCTGGGATGCAAAGATGATGCTTAGGGCATCTTAGGGCGGCCATCAGCCTGGAGAACCTAATGTTTGTGTTTTTCTTGGACGTCATTGGACCAAACGCATTACAAAGTAACGCTTTCAAGAAAAAACACTACAATGTTGTGTTGTTTGTTTGTTCTTTTTTCCCGCTGGGCTCTAAGTTTTGCAAATGCGGCTGCCCACTCTCTTTTTTACGCGATCCACTCAACAGCTGCAGTCGCCAGGCAACGGCGCACACAGTTCACCCTCACCCCGGAAATGTGGCACCCACTGGCCTCACATCAAGAAGAAAACAATCATGAGGAGCAAGAGGACGCTACTACGAGCAAAGGGCATCGCTACTAGTAACAAGTGCCTTACTAGTAGTATCAAGAAGCTATTAGGAACAACTATTGTAATTGGAATATTGGTTTGCTGATGTTCATTTTCCTTCATTACCGGCAAAGGCGCTGTATCACAAATTCTTCTCACAAAGTCTTCATCATTGAAGCACGCCGTCACCTGCAAGCCCACCGGCAGATCATGTGCCACCAGGTGTGAAGCCTGGACATCCAAGTTGGGAGTTTCTAAAGATTCTAAGCATTTCTAAGCATATGTCACGCACCCCCTGGCACAGGCCAAGAAACTGTGGGCGTCTCTATCTCTCTATGCGTTCTGTAGATGCTCACTGCAAGGCTACGAGGCAGGACATGATGTACAGTCCTTCTAAGCAACCACAGGGTCCGGTGCGTCTAAAATGAACGGCTTTGGCCAGACTTGTGGCGAAAGATTAGGCAAACCACGCAAATACTACGAGGCCCTGAGAGAGTATCAGTTCCCGATACGGTGAGCTGCCAGGATGAGGACTTCCCCTGCCCAGTGCGACCGGTTTCTGAAGGCCACCGCCCGCTGAACGGCCTGAGGATGCTCCGCAAGCTGGCGCTGCATTTGGCCGCCCAACCAGGAGAGCCATCTGCCCAGGCATACCGGGAGAGTCGAGGTTGATCGACACTGAGAATCATTCAACGACCATTGAGGATCACCGCAATTATACTTGTTGGAACAATGACCACTCCCATCAAAGCAAAGCAGGTCAACAACCATGCCAATGCCAAGAAAATCAATGGCTATAATTATCGTTAATCAATTGGCTCTTCCGCAGTGCGGTGTTGGAGAACGTCGTGGCATGCGAATTTGAAGAGGTCTTGGGTGGGTTTGACCCATGAACACCCCCCAACAAAGGATGACAGATGATGATACATGCTTAAGTTCAAGAGGCGCTCTCAAAAGCCTTGCGGACTTTGCACTCCGATCTTTTACCTAGTGCAGGTGCCTCAGGCGCCGGCGCCAGCCCCACAGCCCAAACGACGCATCCTTTGCATCCAGAGACCGACGGAAGTACCGACGGGCCTGGTTGGGTGGTCCAGGTCGAGGGAGTCATTGAAGTCATACCGACTAGGGACCATTTGACATGGCATTCCAGTCGTCCACCAAGAATTTGCCAGTTGGTTTAACATCCAGAGAGTGTTCAGCCGCTGATCGCATACAGGAAGTGAGAGCGAGGGAGAAGAGAGACCACAAGCGCACAACGTCAGTGTCCTGACTCGGGCCCATTGCGTTCCGCGGGGGGGTCCGGCAAATGAGATGCATCGTGCGTGACTTCACCATCAGTTCGATGAATGAAGATTTCATGACAGCACCACACAGAGTTTGATCAACACCGGACGAGGCGATCAAACCATCTACCTAGTAGCTCCCAGTAGTAAGGCCAGGAGCCCCTAGTAGCTTCTTGCTCCTATGGCGCTAAAACCTGTGGGAGGAGATCCTAAGTTTGAGCTCCCAGCTCCCCGTGTCGAGCCCCAACGGGTCTTGCGACCGCACAACCCTGCTGCGAGCCCTGATTTGCCGGAGGAAAACCGGTGTCTGCTCCTGGCTACGCCGGGCTGTTCCACAACAACAGGCCACAAGAGGAGTTCCACCGGCAGATGTGGCTTGCCCACGGAGATGTTCGGGGCTTCAGGTTTGAGTTGCTGCCCATGCCCGGGAGGAAGCTATCATTTCCTAAGCAATCCTGAGTGAATCACAGCCCCCTGCTTGAGGTTGCAGAAGCTGGCCTTGCACTTGGCGGCCCAGCCTGATTCTCCTAGCCACTCCCACCCGAGCCAAGCTCCAAAGGCGCGAACATTGGATCTTCGCCGATGGGATCTTGCGTGTCCGTTGAAGGTGATAAGATCAGGATCATCCCACCACATCGAGTTATTCGGAACTGTTTTTTTTTAATACCACTATATAAGTGCCCACTTCTTTGGAGTGGAGGCTCTTCACGGCTGGTGGGCCAAGTGGTGATGCCACACAGTATGCCACACATACCATATCACCCTAACTAGCCATTCCTTTCTCATGAAGATCATCAGTCGAGCCTTTCCCACACCAGCTTTGGGCAGGTGGACCGAAGCCCAGCACCACAGCCGGGACTGGCGCCACAAAGCCATGCTCACTCGGAAGATCACCAGGACCGTGTGGTGTGCAGCGGATGGGGGGGTCCAGAGTTGCTCCAGTCACATGGCAGAGGTTCAATCATGTTCAATCTTTTGGATGTCGTTTTGGCTGAAGTCAAGTTGTCAAGCCCGTTGACGTCCTGATTCCATTTGAGACCTGGTTCCATCCGAAATTTAATACTCCCTGCACTATCTAAATTAATCAGGGGTGACCCTGAGGTACCAATTAATTTTTCTCAATTAATTTGCCAAAAGTGCACTATATCAGTATATCCAGGATGATGATCCAAAGTTGGATGATGATATATATTCCAGGAAATTAATTTGATGCAAGCTGACCTACATGCAAGCCAGGACAACCCACCCCAGATTAGTATATTTTCCTAATTAATCTGGGGTGGGGGGTCTGAAACTGAGAGAGGAGTGGATGCACATGTGGACCACCCCTGGATTATTTTTCTTTTATTGCTCAAATTGCGAGATCGCAAGACCCAAGAGAATATACAAGATAAGAGTGGATAGTAATGAGAATATATGAGAATATAATAGAATATATGATAGTATGTGAGACAAGATAAGCAAAGACTAGAGCACAATATGGAATGAATACAAGAAACCACATGATGGAATCTCTGCTTTCTTCAGACTCTCCAAAAATCGCCATGACGATGGCCGTTCCAGATGGTGCGCCCAATGCTTGTGGCATAGGAAAATGTACTGGCGGGTGCAAGGAGCCAGTGTTCAACTCTAAGTATGAAGTGTGGACGGTACAGTGTGCAACTTGACATAAATGGCCTACGCCTTTTTTTTATATTTGTCTATTTGGTTCATATTCCGTCCGTGATGAAAACAAACCATATGAAATCAGGCCAAAGAAAGCGTGAGCTCCACTGGACATAGCCGAGCATCCCATCATATTTGCATTTAGTAGCTCGCTCATATCTACGTCATATTTTTCTTTGATGTTCATTTTTTTGTGGTATTTTGTGGTTGATGCTTTGTGTGGACGGTGGAAGCTCTGCCCTCTCGCATCTAAGTGATGGAAAGACATGGCAGTGGAGGACATGCTTATCAAAGACTATACAAACATGGACGAGTGAGGGTTGGAAGCCACCTGTTCAGCCAGAACAGCACCAGCCGGAGCCGGAGCCAGCAAAGCCACCTCTTCCGGCACCAGCAGAGCCGCCTGATCAGCCAGCGGTGCCAGCAGAGCCGCCTGATCAGCCAGAGGCACTGGAGAAGCCAGCGCAAGAGTCAAAGGTTGAGCCTGAAGCGTCATGTCTTTTTTGATTGATATGCTTTGTAGTTTTCGTAATTTTTCGGACTGTTTTGATTTATTTTGTATTATTTTGTACTCACATTGTTTGTATTGATTGTTTATGTTTTATTTTTT